TATATATATATATATATATATGTTTAAGCAATTATATTTTTTCTTTACACTAATTGATTCCTCTTATTATTCTGTTCATAAAATATTAAGATACAATTATCAAAAAATTAGTAGTTAATGAGATATTTGACACGCATATACGCACGCACGCACGCACACACAGTGGTCCACTTAAATCGATCATTTGAAATATCTCGCTTTTTGATAATAATAATATAAAATGTTTCAAATGAAAGTGGAATGGCTTCGAGGGAAACGTATTTTGGTTTTTTTTTCTAGATGGAGGTGTCAAAGAGATATGAAGGTCTCCTCCATTTTCTTAAATGAAATTGTATAATTTTTTTTACACAATATGATTCTTTTAATTATTCTGTATATAAAAATATTAGAATAGAGGTATCAAAAAACCATTAGTTTACGAGATATTACTTTTTTTTCCGGCATATATTGACATAAAATATTAAATAACTCATAAACTATTAATTTTTTAATAATCGTACCTTAAGTTTTTAATAATCGTATTTTAAGTACTTTAAATAGCATAATAAGATGAATCAATTGGTATAAACAATATTAAGAATTTTTAAACCACATATGTGAGAACACAATCAATACTGGAAATTAAAATGCCTATAACGATCGAAGCTGGATCTTCATTGCTTAAATAATTCAATCTTGAATTACTATATATCCCGTATACAAATGTACTTGCATATACACTATATTGCAGTCTTTTGAACTGCGCACTGAATTATTTTTCTGGACTAAACACGATTAAACTATTCTAATTAAATTAATAACGAAGTATTGATTGTATTCTCACATATGCGATCTAAAAATAAAGATTTTTAATATTGTTTATATTGTCGCCTGTAAGAAAGACATTGCTTACTGATTATTGCGAAGAATATTACTAAGGCTTCGTTCTAAATCTAAAAGTTTAGGACGCTCATACAGAATATAGAGAGATCCGGATTTGATTTCTGATTGAAATAATATTTTTCGCAATAAATTTATTAACAGTTTTTTCAATATATTAATAGCTTTATAATATGATGATGCATGATTGTAACATCAAATTATTAAAATTTAATTCGCGATTACTAGAGTAGTTTAATTGCGTTTAGTCTGGAAAAACAATTCAGTTCGCAGTTCAAAAGATTACAAGATTATGGTATATATGCAAGTACATATATTTTACATCATCCATCCTGAGCAGGTAGAACGGACTAAACTGAATCAAACAGTCCTGTACCATTTTACATTTTTTTCAATGATTAACGAGATATTAATTATTAAAAATCGCTAAATATTGGTTTTTAATAATTTTGTACTCAAATGCTATCAACTTTACAGAAAAATAGTAAAAAATAAAAATTGTTTATTTTCTTATGATGTAAAAATAAAAAATGCAGTACTAAAAATTTGATAAAAAATTCTAAAAAAATTCTTAGAGTTCTATGAGAAAAAAATGATTTTTGTCTGTTGCAATTGTTCTGTAATTGTAAAATTGATAATATTTGTATAGTAAAAAATTATTGAAAACCAATATTTAACGATTTTTAATATATCTATTAATTAATATCTCGTTAACCATTGCAAAAATCGCAAAATGATAGAGGACTTTTCGACTTAGTTTACGCTCTATCTAGAATAGGTAATGCCAAAATTTAAGAACACCCTATATATATATCGTAAATTTCTTTTTTAGAGATCCTAAGGTCGTCTATCTATCAACTTAACCATATAATTTTTATATAACAATTACTTTTTTCCTATCTTACTGATTTGAAAATCCTTTTCCAGGATTAAAATATATGTATTAATACGAATACGTGTCTGTGAGATAGAATCTATGCTGAAAAAATTAAAAAATGGAGATCTTTACCATTTCTAACATGACGTTCCAGAGCTGTTATATCATAACAAGATTTGTTTTATATAAAAGCTGTCCAATCTATTTACGAAATAGATGGTCCTCAGATCAGTAGTTTTGCATGAAGAAAGCATGGAGAACTTAAAATTGAATTTAGACTAATTAAAACGTAATTGTTATACGAAAATTTAGTGTGGCATGCGTGAATGATGTATCAATAAGAAGTTTGAACCGTGCAAGAACTTTAGCTGAAAAAAAAGGGAGGAGGGAACTTAATGACGCGTAAATCGTCTGTGTGTAAGTGCTATTTTCAATATGACTAATCGTCTTTAGGATCCTTTTAAATGATTTTGCGGCAACTTCACTGATACATTTATATGTGGAATAATCAGAGGAATCATATTAAGTAAAATAATCATATAATTCTATTTTTTTTAATGGCGATACTATTTAATATTTATATGACGGTAAAAAAATTGACTTTTCGGAAACTAATTTTACCAATATTTGCATTCCTTCAAATCATATAATTATATGAAAAATTTTTTCATATTTTTCGTATTTTCCGAGATATTCATTATGTTTGAGATAGGTCGCCCTATGTGCATATGTGTGTGTGTTTATGTGTGCATATGTGTGTGTGTTTATGTGTGCATATGTTGTGTGTGCTATGTGTGCATATATATATAATGAATACTAACTAATTGAAGTCGCACAAAAATCAAACAAATCCATTTTTCTTTAAAATCTGAATTATAGTCAAATCGTTTTCTGTTAGCAATATTACATCGTGAACAATTTTATTCCAAGAATCAAACAAAAAACAGAAAATATAACATTTGTAAAGAATGTTTTTGTTAACAGCAATTTGTAAAATTTTGGAAATAAAAAAAAATTATTGCTTTATACTTTAATAATATTTCTTCTTCACTTATAAAAAGATAAATGTAAAATATTAAATAAGGGATATAAATAGATAATAAATAAGAAATTTCTGGAAAAACCAAACAAGTCTAGAGGTCCTTTATTTATTTTTTTTCAAAATAAGTCCCCAAAATATTAAGGGATTATATCCGACTGAATACCTGAAAACATAGAATGATTTCGGGAATTTTTTGCAGTTAAGTAATAAAATAAGTGAAAATTCAATTTGAAGACCTTTAAATTTGCATATGCTGTGGAGATGCTGGAGTGACCAAATTATTGACACATTGCAGATCGATAAAAATTTCCGAATTTATTGAACGAAATAAAAAATCCATTTACAAGATTAGACACAAAATTGTGGAAGGGGAGCTACAGGATGGACTTTAAATCGAAAAAAAAGTTAAAACTTATTTATTTTTCAATTAGTAGAGCTATCACCTGGCGTAGACATTTTCTTGATGCAAAATTATTATATAATATATGGACAAAACGACAGTGCATCATCCTTCTGATTACGATAAACGAACATTGTTAATGAAAAGATTAAAAGCTTAAAAAAAGATTTATATTAATCTGTAAATTACATATACATACGAATATTGAGTAAAGACTCAGAATGATAAACAAAGCAGCAGTAATTGTCTACTATTAAATACTCTATCTTGCAAGAGTGGCGTTGCAATATGTTAGGCAAGATGTATGTATTTGAATGAGACAAGAGACAATGAGAACGATAATATTCGTATAATAAGAAATGAATTAAAAATGTCACATTATATTATCTTTTTTGTTCGGAATTTAAAAAGTCTCAACATCGATCAAATTCAGCCACTCTAGCACATTCTTATATTTTTTTGTCAAGATGTTAACGCAGGAGTTTTGCAAGTGAGACTGTTTTTTTCCATAGATCTCTGTGGCTTACAGTAGAAATTCTGTATATATTTTCACTAGGAATAAAAAGCAAAATTTTTTTATAATCCACATTAAATTTGCTAGAGAAGTACACACGTATATGTTAATTAAAACATACGTATATATTAATTTTTGCAGAAAAAAAATAAGGTTTCATTTTCCAAAAAATTTATTAATAAAAAAGTTTTTAACCGATAAAAATCATGTATATTTCTCTAAAGAATTTAGTTTAGCAAATACTGTAAAAATTCAAGTGGTTTGAATAAAATTTGTTAAAGTTATGCTACAAACACCGTGAAGAAAGAAGCAATTTCACTTGTAGAACTCTAGCGTCATCTTGACAAAAAAAAAAAATGATATAGCTTAAGGATGTAGTAGCTTAAGTGGTTGTAAGAATTGACCAATCAAATCGAATGTGAAGAGAATATTTGGACTGTGACTGGTCAATTCTTACAACTACAACCACTTACAATTATGCTTACGATTATTGTAGAAATAATTCTAAGAATTCAACGTTACTTATTCGTATAAATTACATGTTTGTGAATTATTGTTTCATAAGAACTGATTGCAAAATTTTCATATCAAGCAAATGTTGTTAAGACTTGATAGTTTGAGACGTCATGTTATACTAGAAATGATGAAAAATATATCAATTTCGAAATTTTTTGTCGTTCTCAGCATAAACTCCATCTCACAAACATTAATAGTATTAATGCGTATACTTTAATCTCAGAAAAAAATTTTCGAATCTATGAAAGAGAATGTATTTGTTGTACAAAAATTGCATGATTTAGTCGGTAAAATAGACGGCTTTAGGATCCCCTTAAGAGGATACTAAAGTTGTCCTACCATCATTTCCATTCGATGAAAAATCTCCGAATTGGATTTACGGATTGCAAAATTGTTATTACAGAATTAAAGTACGCACAAACAGGACCTCAGCTGCATTAGATTTCATGAGAAAATTGAAAAAAGTTGAAAAATTCTTTTGACTTATATAACTGTCACTTCAAGTACATATTTGATATAAACGTTTTATGGTCCATATCTTAAAAATAAGCATACAACTAAGATCATATTACTGGAACGAACGGTACCGAGTTTATAGAATTAAAGGTAAATTTTCACGAGTTGTTCAAACCGGCTGTTTTGCAACAAAAAGGATTACTTGATCAAAATTGACGAATATCAAGTGTCCATTTTGATTACGTGAACTTTTGTTGTTGAAACAGATTAGAGCTCGTAAAAATTTATCTTATAATTGAAAGTCTAGAAGAAAAGTATTGTATATATAAGTATATATATATTTTTTCATCGAATAAAAAATACGTGTATACGAATGCTTTGTGAAGACTAGGAATATCAATAGAACCGAAATTCCATATAATAATAATTATACGATCTTGCGATAGATGGCGCTAGAATATATTACATAAGGACTGATGTATACGTTGAATAAGACCATCGACATATAGAATGGACTATCGATGGCGATAATGGGGATAGAAACACGAGTAGAGCAAGAGGCAAATAAATGGACATAAAGAGAATCAAGGCAGAGTGGAATGAAGAATGTTTCTCTTCTCTGATTGGTTCCGCCATTTATAGCTCACATGCATGTGTATATGTACATATATGTTATACACACAATACTAATGCAGTGCAATAGTTCCATCATATTTCTATCATATCTATCATAGTTCCATCATATCTCCTGCTCATTTCAATGGCACGCTAACGACGGTTTTCGAGTAGTCCACTCCACTCTCCCTTGATTCTCTTTGAATGGATGAACGTTATCTCTGTTTACTAGCTTGATTGGTTGTGTTGATCCAGCAGTATTGCTGCAATCAATTAGGCTTAGTAAACAGAGAAAGACCATTCATCCATTTATCTGCCTCTCACTATTCTTGTTTCTACCGCCATCAGTAGATCATTCTGCGTTCAGGCAGCGCGCTATCAACGCTATTTGTGTCATACTATCCTTGTTTGATAGATGATGAAAATAGAATAACATAAATAGCGCTAATAGCATCTCTCCGATCCTAGCCTATATATGTTGATGAGTGAGATAGAATGATATTAATAATATAATGTAAGAAATGAATTAAAGATGTTACTTTCGAATTTGGAATTAAAATAAATGTCTGTACTATCGATCTTGATCAAGTTCAAGTTTGATTATTCCTTTGATTTAGAATTCCTTTAAGCTATGCATATTAAAGAATTTTCACTTATTTTATTACTTAACTGCAAAAAATTCCCCAAATTACCACATATTTTCAGGTGTTTACTCGAACATAATCCCTTAATCAAAGCTTAAAACTTTGTTTTTATGTCTATTACATGTTCATATTAAAATTATTATTGGTTGTGTATTCACATAAATGATCCAATAAGATCCTTATTATTTAAAATTATTATATTTACATAATGAATAGTTTTCGAAAATGCAGTTTTTTGTTTTCTGAAAATTTAATTTTTTAGACTTGTTTCATTTTTATGAAAACTTTTCAATTATGTAAGTACGCGCGCGCGCACATGCACACGCACGCACGCACACGCGCACACACACGCACATACACACACGCACACACACACGCACACACACGCACACACGCGCACACACACACACACACACACACACACACACACACACACACACACACACACACCTACGTGTACAGCCAGCCAGTCACCGAAAGATTGCATTTTTTCTTCGATTTCAGGATGGACTCAGCTTGCTCTCCGAGTGATTAGTTCTTACTCAAGGATCTATAAATAAGAACCAATTGTTCGGTGAGTAAGCTGCATTCCGAAACCCATCGAAAAAAAGTTGCAGTCTTTCTATGACTAGTTGTACACATACATACATGTATGTGCATACGTACATGCAAGCATAGGAGGGAGGAAGGAGGAAAGGGAGAGATAGGAAGAGAGGGGAGAGAGAGAGAGAGAGCACTGAAAATTATATAAATAATATAAATGGTGTGAATCAATGAAATAAAGTACTAATTTTGCTTACCCATTAAGGGCCGATACAGGCATCACCATGCAATCTCTTCTACCAATTAAATGCGCACTTTGATTGAATATTGGCTTCACTTCTCTGACACCCATACAATCAGGTACATCTTGCTTATTTGCCAGTACCAATAATGGTACGCCAATTAGATGCTCAGATGATATCACCTTATCTAAGAGGAAAATACACATATTTTTACCATTTGTACAATATTTATATGTGCCTCGTTAAAATAAAGGAAATAATTTTTAATTTTTTAAGAAAAAAGCTATTTTAAACTTATAGTTTTATTTAAAAATGTATATTGAAATATTAAAAATGTTTTTATACTGTTATTTTACTTACAATTGAAGCTTATCCAATTTAATAAATCAAAATATAATTAGAGAACATCTTACCAAAAGTTTCTTTGGAATCTGGTATTCTATCACGATCAGATGAGTCAACAATATAAATCACAGCGTGAGATTCTGCATAATACTGTAAGTATAAACTAATATTATCATTCACTAATTCATATATATTGTCTAATTATCTTATACTAATGGTGAGAATTATAATTCCATAAATAAAAAAAAAATATAAAAAAATGCATGACAATATATTATTTGTTTTTGTATAAAAGTTTTTATATAAAAGAGGACATAGAACTTTTTTGGTTTCAAAAAGTAAGCCTTTTCCATGGTTATTTTTTTTAGAAAAAATATGTGAAAAGATATGTGAGCTCATTTTTTATAAATAAAATTACATATTTTTTACTATTAATCATAATTTTATTTTATATTTCACTGCATATCCCATTCTTCATGCATGTTTCATACCAGAAATACAATATCTCCAACTTGATTCATCTGAAATAAAAAAATCAAAAAGAGTCAAACTATATTAAAGATTAATAATCCCTATTAGAAACAATTTTGAATTTTGAATTTTTAACAAAATGATGAATTTTCAAACTTAATGAATCGATTTTCAGCAAAAATTTTAAATTTCTTTTTATAAAAAAAGCATTTGATTTTTAATATACTTTAATATACTCTTTTTGAATTTCTTGTTTCAGATGAACCAGGTTAGAGATATTTCTCGTACTGTGAAATGCCATGTAATATGCCTAGGAAGAAGGAAGATATTTTTTAGTGAAACATAAAAAAATATATAATTAATATTAGGTGTACAACTTTGCTTCCGCCGTTTTCCTATAGATGGCTTTAGCGGTAAATGGTGGTCGAAATAAACAGATCATAGACATCAATAACCTTGGGCATCTGTCAACATAACCCCATAGAAACATTAGTCGATTTGTGTCCGCATCATAAAGTTATTCTCGATTGAAAATGTCAGTTTACGAGCCAAATTCTCGTCATTTGTGGGAGATTTTAATTTTTTGCTTCAATATGAAGAAATCTGCGGCTGAGACTCATCGAATGCTCTCAAATACTTATGGTGAGGCCGCTATTAGTGAAAGAACGTGTCGTGAGTGGTTTCAATGCTTCAAGAACAGTGATTTTGACGTCCAAGGTCATGCTCTGTATTTGATGGGACCAGCTCGGCGTAGTGTATTATGAACTGTTAAAACCGACTGAAACAATCACAGGCGATCGATATCGAACGCAATTGATGCGTTTGAGCCGAGCATTGAAAGACAAACGGCCACAATACAACGAGAGACACAATAAAGTGATTTTGCAGCATGATAAGGCTCGACCCCATGTTGCGAAAGTGGTCAAGACATACTTGGAAACGTTGAAATGGGAAGTCCTACCCCACCCACCGTATTCTCTAGACGTTGCTTCCTCTGACTATCACTTGTTTCGATGAATGGTACACGGCCTGGCTGATCAGCACTTCCAGTCTTATGAAGAAGTAAAAAATTGGATCGATTCGTGGATAGCCTCAAAAGATGACCAGTTTTTTCGACGCGGGATTCGTACGCTACCCGAAAGATGGGAGAAAGTAGTGGCTAACGATGGATAATACTTTGAATCATAAATGTATAACCAGTTTTTTACAATAAAGCCTCGAATTTCGGAAAAAAAACGGCGGAAGCGAAGTTGTAACCTAATAGTAAAACACCTAATAGTAAAATGTACTTTCATTAACAAAAAATTCAATTTTTGTAACTTATATATCTGTTTCAGAAAAAAATCATGAAAAAAGCCTACTTTTTGAAACCAAAAAAGTTCTATGCCTCCTTATTTACTTTGTCCCACAGAGATTGAAGTTCCTCTTGACCACCGAGATCCCAGAAGTTAAAAGATACTCCAGCGATGTCGATCTTACCAATGTTCAAGCCTACAGTAGTCGTAATCTTGCTCGGATTCATACCCTTGTAATTCTTCGTGAATTTTGTCTTCGCTGCCTCGAGGTAAGTCTACAAATAATCGATATTTTGCATCTAACGTTATAACTTCGGAATGTTCGAGAGTCTTACCGTTTTCCCTGCATTGTCGAGTCCTAAAATTAATATGAAGTATTCGTCCTTTTGCATCAAATACTTGTACAAACCATGCAGCAATGTGTACATCTCCGTTAACCATCGATGTATTCAATGACATAATTTACATGTCGTATTGTTTATATTTTAGGCCCGCACTTTTCGCACTTCGCACTCGTGCCATGTTGGGCTGCGTTCGGAAATATCATCCGAGTACCCTCTTGAGAGGAATCCATATTGGCTCCGGTATATACCACGCGACATCCAATGAGAGTATATCTTTATGGCTCCAGTACATTGGACGCGGAAATGTTTGCCATGCAAAATGAGACGCAGTAATGAATACATTAGGAGCTATAAGCTTATTGGCTATCGTATTACATTTTGCCGCGCGGCAAGCGTTTCACGTTCAGTGTGCAAAAGTCATTAGAATGAAAACATCGGTAAAGCTGTAAACTCATTGGATTGGATTCTCATTGAGCGAACATCGCGCTAGTGTGCCAACAATAGACGTTGCTCCTGTTCTACAATAGAGTCGTAAGCAGTAAGCCGTAAGAAATTAACCAATCATAATCCATTATTCTTCTCAGTTAGCTATTTAGCCAATTTCTTATGGCTTATGATTTGCAACTCTATTGTAGAACTAGATTACTAGAAACGTAAGTATTCATGTCCACCTTTTTATTCCTTTTCTTACTCCTTGCTCCGTCCCCATTCCATCACTGAGCTGTGATGGGTTATGATCATTACAGGTTATGATTTGTATTTTCTGCTTGAAATTTTGTAACTTTTTTCATTCCATTTTTCTCTCAAAATCAATTGAATATCTATCGTAATATTAGTGTAGGAAAAGAGTGTCTGGCATTCAGGTTATTTCTAGATAAGGTGCCAAATATATATCAATTTGAAGAAAAGGATTGAAATTTCTGCGACAAAGTGTAGTGATGTTTATTCACAAGTCATGTATTTATTTTACAACAATACAGTAAGTTATTGATACAGTTTACAGTAACGCAACAAGGCATTTTATAAATTTTTTTGCCTTCGTTAATGTATAATGTTTCAGTTTTTTTTTATATGTTTTTTTTCGTCTCTTAGTCTTATGGAAAAATTTTGAAGTGCGGAAACACATAAATACAAAACTACAAGGCTTACCAACAGCTTAGAAGCTATAACCGTAACGATCATAACTTCTCAGCTCAGCGGAGTGAGAATAGAGCAAGGAATGAAGAAAGGAGTAAAAATGACGGATATGCGAATACTCATGTTTATAATGCCTTAGTAGAACAGGCATCAAAGGTTTGTTCGCGTCGCACGCTCTAACATGCCCAACGCGCTCCAATACGTTCGCGTTACCGGAACCAATAAGGTGACTAATGCCCGTATTCATAGTCTGGCCTTATATTTAAGATTACTTCCTTAAATTTATTTTCAGATATTACGAATTATTTCATTGGCTGCTGAACATATAAAAATAAATTTATGGAAGTCTTAAGTATAAGGTTGATGAAGGCTGACTATGAATACGGGCATAAGACTGCGTTCCACTAATCCCATATTCATAATCTTTCCTTATTTTAAGGATGAAGGAAATTTCCATTGAAGGATTCTTCGATTTTTTCCTCCTGATTTCATAAACTAATTTCAAGTCTGCCTTCGCGAAGGAAGGAATATTTTAGAGATTTTAGCAATCTACTGAAAACAGCATGCTATAATATATGCAAATCTAATATCGTAAATTACGAGTAATAAAGATTATATAGGCATTGTTGATTAAATAAAATCGTAATTAAGCATTTTGTAACAATAATGGACAAAAATAAAACTAATAGCGAATTTGATTGGATGCACTAAGCGCACTGATGTATATTAAAACCGCCACAAAACACATACACAAAATAACGTAAATATATATTTATAAATAAAAATCGATTAAATCGATTAATCGAGAAAATGCTTATGGCACAGTTTATTTACGGAAAAAAAGTTATCAAAAATAATTATCGATGCGACAGATCTAAATTAAAAGCTAAATCAAAAGTAAAAAGGTGTGATAAAATAAGTTTGGAGGTTTACTTGATTATGAAAACTGCATCTCCTCCTCAAGGAAACTCATAACCTCTCTTGAGAAAAGAAAACTAATAAGGTTTCTTATTTAGTCAAAGAAAATTTATGAAATGTGAAATGAGGGAACAAGGAATCCTCGTTCCTGAAGGAAAAACTATGCGGGTATAATGCTCACAACGCTTGCGAGCATCATTTGTTTTTGATATCAATCATGAAACTTTATTCCTAGGATGGAAAGATGAAACTTTAACCTAAACCTAAACCTAAACTAAATTTGAAATTAATGGAGAAATTTTTTACTTTTCATCCTAGGAAAAAAGTTTCATGATTGATACCCTGGTTTAACATTTGATAAACGACAAGGTCGTGATATGATTCCACGAACATTATGAACGTTATGCGGGGAGTTCAGACTTTTGCATAAAACATGAAGCATAAGAATATCAATCAATCAGAGTTCTTTATTTCATGGAAAGGAAGGAAACGAAAAACTTTGATTGGTACATTTTCTTATGCATTACATGTTGTGCGTTATGCTTTCGCTTTAAGTTCAGTTCCACAACTCACGGTTAAAGCGGAGAGCATAGATTCTTGCATAACACGTAATGCATAAGAAAATGTACCAATCGAAGTTCTTCCTTTCCATGAAATAAAGAACTCTGATTGATTTTTTTACATCTTATGCGTTATGCAAGAGTTTGTGTTCTTCGCTTATAGATCTTCTACAATAAGCCATACTCATAAATCAGAAGTCAGCCAATCACAGTCGTCAATTTTTAGCTTCTAACTTCTGATTTATGACTAATGGCTTATTGTAGAAGGTCCATTAATGGTCGCGGCACAAACTTTTGCATAACACATAATGCATAGTATAAAGAAAGCAATTAATCAAAATTCTTTTTTTCTATGGAAGGGAAAGATTCTGATTAGTTGATTCGTTTATGCACTATACGTTATGCATTATGTAAAAGTCTGTGCTGCGACTTTAAAGCGGAAAGCAGACTCTTGCATAACGTATGAGGCATAAGAAAATGAATCAAAGTCCTTTACTTCTTTCTTTTCCGTAAAATAAAGGACTCTGATTGGTTGATTTTCTTATGCCTCATGTTTTATGCATTACATGTAGCACGATTATGTGAATTAAATATCGATTTATCATCTCCAGCCTTGAAAAATGAACGATGCTATGTAGTTTATATCCACTTTGTCAGAGAGCAATAGTGCGCGGCAGCATTAAAGTCACTAGATTATAAAGTAATTGATTTCAGAAATGTCGCGTAAAAATGGTCGATGTACACGATTGATGTGTACTTAGATGTATACATAATGTGATGTGTACTTTCGTATTCCTGAACAGTTCTGAACTGTATTTACACGTATCTTTCGTAAACTTTTATGCACAAAACTTCTACGACAAATAAATCCGTATCAAATTAAAGAACATATAAATTGAGCATTCGTATATTACATTATTATTCGTACATATTTTCTTGTTCATAAATAAACTAATTACAACTAAAAAATGATTGATTTATATACTTGACGGTTTCATTTTCCCAAATAAAGCACATAATACAAATGCATAAATGCATAAATGGCCGCGTGAAAATGAATGTGAGTTTGTGGTACTTTATAGAGTTTATTATCTAGTGACTTTAACAGCATTTTGCAGTTACAGGTTTTGGCCGTCAGGTTTTGTCTTTTCTCGGGTTTCTCTCTGATATCAGCCTAGGTATATCTAGAGCTTTAGCTCCTGAATGGAAAATATTTAGCAACACTGTTCTTGTGATTGTCCGATCTCACGAACACGAATGCATTGCAGTCTGCAGTGTTGCGATAGACTTCTCTGAACGTTCGACATCATGCTGAGACTCTTGCTGCTCTTGTGCTGGGCCGCGACGATTGTGTCAGGTAACGGATTCCTGATGTGAATTCGTAATTTGCAGCCGCCGATGCAGATAATTACCCATGCCAGAAATATATTATCGTGATTTTGCACAGCGATGTCGATAATTCCATCACATCACATTATTATCATCATCCTCATCATCCTCATCATCATCGCTGTCATCGTCGTTGACCTTGCGATCTCGCTTTGACGAGAGACGAAGTAAACGGAAAAGAGAGATCGCGACCCTAAAGTTATGCTCGTCGTCACACTTCGGAGATTAATTGCGCACTCCGAATCACTGAAAGCGCCATGATGATGAGGCGGACCGGATCTTCCTTGAACGAGAATGTTGTCACGACAGTAATTCAAGTGCAGTTGCACTCGTTTCATTTCGTCTCGTCTCGCCTCGCGTCGCGTCATGTAGCCGTATTATATCGCTATTCCGATGATTTGACACAGACGATTATATGCTTTTAATATAAAACAGTCGCTTGGCAGTCGTATCGCGAGATATGACATTGCGTAGTATTCTGAGGAAGTCAGATTATATTTTATTCGAGGATTATCGTGACATTACTCTATTCTGTAACTTGTTAAGACAGTAATGACATCAGTTAGCAGATATTTTATGTAAAAAAATTGCGCAACAATGTCATTATTGTCTTAACAAGTTATAGAATAGGGATCCTGGGAAGAGTTTGTTACCCGTATTTATATTCCTTGTATTTAAGGCTTCCTTAAATTTATCTTTAGATACTCAACAACCAATGAAATAATTCGTAGAGTATCTAAAGATAAATTTAAGGAAGCCTTAAATATAAGGCTTGACTATGAATACGAGTATGTATCTCTTATGCGTGTTTCTATCAATTTAGATTAACTTTAATCTTAGCTCGATTTGCTCTTCAATTTTTAAAAATTTTTATAACTAGACAAAGATGAAGAGCTAGTTGAACCAAAATTAAGATGAAATAAGATTAAGATACATTGATAGAAACGATCATTAATTGATTATGACGACCTCTAAATCTATTGTGCGAAATGATTTTGATTCATGTTTTTTTGTTAGATATTCTTTGTTTTTGGAGTTCTTTTTTTACATTTATGTTATTTTACATGATTTATATGAACATTTAATTGATACTGAAAACGTATGTAAAATTTAATTGATACATATAGATGAATGTTTAACAACATATAAATATTTGATCCTTGCATATTTTGTTAA